AGCCAATCTAATAGTTGTGAGGTGATATCTCATTGTGGTTTTGATTTGCATTTCCCTGATAATTAGTGACGTTGAGTACCTTTGCATATATCTGTTGGCCATTTGTACGTTTTCTTTGGGAAAACGTCTGTTCCATTCCTCTGCCCATTTTTTAACCGCATTTTTTTTATTGTTATTGAGTTGTATGAGCCCTTTATGTATTTTGGATATTAACCGCTTATCAGATACATGTTTTGCAAATATTTTCTGCCATTCAGTAAGTTTCCTTTTCATTTTGTTGGTGGTTTCCTTTGCTGTGCAGAAGCTTTTAAGTTTGATGTAGTCCCACTTGTTCATTTTTGCTTTTCTTACCTGTGCTGTAGGGGTCATATCCAAAAAATCATTGCCAAGGCTAACAGCAAGAAGGTTTTTCCCTGTTTTCTTCTAGGAGTTTTACAGTTTCAGGTCTTATGTTTAAATCTTTAACCCATTTCAAGTTCATTTTTGTGAGTGGTATAAGATATGGGTCTAATTTCAGTTAACTTCACGTGGTTATCCAGTTTTCCAACACCGTTTCTTGAAAAGACTATCCTTTCTCCATTGAGTATCCTTGACTCTCTTGTCAAATATTGGTTAACCATATATTAGGGGCTTTACTTTTGGGCTCTAACTTCTGTTCCATTGATCTATGTCTTTTTTTATGCCAGTAACATACTATTTTTATTACAATAGCTTTGTAAAATAGTTTGAAATCAGGAAACCTGATGCCTGCAGCTTTATTTTTCTTTCTCATGATTGCTTTGGCTATTCATGGTCTTTTGTTGTTCCATACAAATTTTAGGAGAGTTTTTTCTATTTCTGTGAAAAAAGTCATTGGAATTTTGACAGGGATTGCATTGAATTTATGGATGACTTTGGGTAGTACGGGCGTTTTAACAATATTAATTCTTCTGATCTATGAACATGAGATATCTTTCCGTTTGTTTGTCTTCTTGAAAGTTTTTCATCAAAGTCTTGCAGTTTTCAGTGTACAGATCTTTCACTTCCTTGGTTAAATTTGTTTCTAAGTATCTCTTTTGTTTTTGATGCTATTGTGAATGGGATTTTTTTTTTTTTTTTATAGATAATACCTAATGTCTTCATCTTGCACTTCTTTTTTTTTTTTTTTTTTTAAAGATTGGCACCTGGGCTAACAGCTGTTGCCAATCTTCCTCTTTTTTTTTTTTTTTTAATCTGCTTTTTCTCCCCCAAGTCCCCCATACACAGCTGCGTATCTTTAGTTTCCGGTCCTTCTAGTCGTGGGATGTGCGACGCCGCCTCAACGTGGCCTGACGAGCGGTGCCATGTCCGCGCCCAGGATCCGAACCCTGGGCCGCTGCAGCAGAGCGTGCAAACTTAACCACTTGGCCACGGAGCCGGCCCCCGGGATTGTTTTCTATTTCTTTTTCAGATATTTCATTGTTAGAGAAATGCAAGTGTTTTCTGTATGTTGATCTTAGTGATCCTGCACTTCACTGAATTTATTAGTTCAAACAGTTTTTCTATTGCATCTTTAGGATTTTCTATATATAAGATCATACCATCTGTGAATAAAGATAGTTTTACTTTTTCCTTTCCAGTGTGAATGAGTTCAGGTCTTTATCTTGACTGATTTGTCTATACAGGATTTTGAGTACTATGTTGAATAAAAGTTGTGAGAGTGGGCATATTTGTTTTGTTCCTGATCTCAGAGGAAAAGCTTTCAACCTTTCACTATTGAATATGATGTGTTCTGTGGGTTTGTGGTATATGGCCTTTATTATATTGAGGTATGTTCTTTCTATACTCCATTTGTTGAGAGTTTTCATCGTAAAAGAATGTTGTATTTTGTCAAGTGCTTTTTCTGCATCTGTTGAGATGATCACATGGCTTTTATCTTTCATTCTATTAATGTAGGGTATCATATTTATTGATTTGCGTATGTTGAAATATCCTTGATCCCAGGGATAAATCCCAATTGATCATGGTGTCTGATCTTTTTAATATGCTATTGAATTCAGTTTGCTAATATTTTGTTGAGAATTTTTACATGTATATTCATCAGGGATATTGATCTGTAGTTTTCATTTCTTATATTATCCTTGTCTGGCTTTGGTATCAGAGTAAAGCCAACCTCATAAAATGAGTTTCAGAGTTTTCTTTCCTCTTCAATTTTTTAGAAGATTTTGGAAGGATTGGTGTTAATTCCTCCTTAAATGTTTGATAGGATTCACTGGTAAAAACCATCTGATCCTTGGCTTTTCTTTGGGGAGGTTTTTGATTACTGATTCAGTCTCCCTACTCATTGATCAGTTCAGATTTTCTATTTCTTCATGATTCAGTCTTGGTAAGTTGTATATTTCTAAGACTTTGTCCATTTCTTCTAACTTATCCAATTTGTTAGTATGGTTGTTCATAATTGTCTCTTATCATCTTATGTATTTCTGTGGTGTCAGTTTTAATTTCTCCTCTTTCATTTCTGCTATTGAGTCTTCTCTCTGTTTTCCTTAGTTAGTCTAGCTAAAGATTTGCCAATTTTGTTTATCTTTTCAAAAAACACTATATTGATCTTTTCTATTGTTTTTCTGGTCTCTATTTCATTATTTTGCTCTGATCTTTGTTATTTCCTTCTTCCTGCTAAATTTGTGCTTAGTTTGTTCATCTTTTTGTAGTTCCCTGAGGTGTAAAATTAGATTGTTCATTTGAGTTTTTGTTTCTTTAATGAATGCATTTATTTCTATAAACTTGCCTCTAAGAACTGCTTTTGCAGTATCCCATAGGTTTGGTATGATGTGTTTGCAATTTAATTTATTTTGAGATATTTTTTTAATTCCCTTTTGATCTCTTCTTTGATTCATTGGTTGTCCAGGAATGTGATATTTAGATTCCACCTGTTTGTAAATTTTCCAGCTTTTCTCTTATTGTTGATTACTAATTTCTTATCATTGTGATTTGAAAAGATATGAGATATGATTTCAATCTTTTTGAATTGTTGAAGACTTCTTAAGACTTGTTTTATGGCTTGTCATATGATCTATACTAGTGGATGTTCCATGTGCACTGAAAGAAAAGTGTGTATTCTGCTGCTATTGGATGAAATGTTTTATCTGTTAGGTCCATTTGGTCTAACGTATGCTTCAAGAGCCCCATTTTCCTGTTGTACTTCTGTCTGGATAATCTATCTATTGCTGAAAGTGGGGTGTTGAAGTTCCTTACTGTTATTGTTCTGTTGTTTATTTCTCCCTTCACATCTGTTAGTATTTGCTTAATATATTTGGATGCTCCAATATAAGGTGTGTTTATATTTAAAATTGTTATACCTTCTTGATGAGTTTATCCCTTTATCATTACATAATGATCTTCCTGGTTTCTTGTTACCATATTGGGCTTATATTCTATTTTGTCTGATATAAGTATAGCTACCTCCACTCTCTTTTGGTTTCTAGTTGCATGGCACATCTTTTTCTGTCCCTTCACTTTAAGCCTATGTATGTCCTGAATGAATAAGTGAGTCTCATGTAGGCAGCATATATTTGAGTCTTGTTTTTTATTCATCCAGCGATTTTACACGTTTTGATTGGAAAAATCAAGCCATTTACATTTAGAGTAATAATTGATACATGAGGACTCACCAATGCCATCTTATTAATTGCTTTCTGGTTGTTTTGTAGTCCTGGTGTTCCATTTTTCCTCTCCTGCTGCCTGGAGAGGTTGGTCATTTTCCTTGTTGGTATGCTGTGATTCCTTTCTCTTTTACTTTGTGAATCTACTATAGGCTTTTGCTATGCAGTTACCATGAAACTTACATAAAACACCTTGTAGCTATAACAGTCTATTTTATGCTGATAGCACCTTAACTTCAATCTCATAAAATATATCCCTTTCCTCCCCATTTTATGTTTTTAATGTCACAATTTACCTCTTTTTATGTTGTGTATCAATTAACAAATTATATTATAGTTTTTTAATACTCTTTCCTTTAATCTTTATACTATAGTTAAGAAGTTAACACACCATCATAATTCAGAATAGAGTTTTCTGAGTCAGATTTTTACCTTAGTGTTTTATATTTTTGCATGTTTTAAGGTTGCTAATTATTTTATTTTCATTTCAGCTTGAAGAGCTCCTTTCTGCATTTCTTCTAAGGAAGATCTAGTGCTCATAAACTCCTTCAGCTTTTGTTTGTCTGGGAAAGTCTTTATTTTTCCTTCTTTTCTGAAGGATAACTTTGCTGGAGAGAGTATTCTTGGCTGGCATTTTTTCCCAGCACTTTAAAGATATCATTTCAATCTTTCCTGGCTTCTAAGGTTCTGCTGAGAAATCTGCTGATAGCCAAATCAGGGTTCTATTGTAGGCTACAAGCTTTTTTCCTCTGGTTGCTTTTAGGATTCTCTCTTTGTCTTTGATTTTGACAGTTTCATTATAATTTGTCTTTGAGAAGATTGCTTTGAATTGAAACAATGAAGTGATCTATTAGTTTCTTGAACTTGAATGTCCAAGCCTCTCCCCAGGTTTGGGAAATTCTCAGCCATTTGAAGACACAGCAAGAAGGTAGCCATCTGCAAGCCAGGAATGGAGCCCTTACCAGAAGCCAAACTCTTTCAGATCTTCTTCTTGAGTTTCCAGCATCCAGAACATGGAGAAAAATAAATATCTGTTAAGCCACTCAGCCTATGGTATTTCATTACAGCGATCTGAGCTGACTAACACAGAGCACCAAGAATAAAAATTTTACTTCTACATGCATTATGTTCAAATTGTGAAGAAAACAATATTGATCACACAAATAAAATACATCAATGTGACAGAAAAATCCTCCAGTGGTAAGATTATCAATGATTTCCAAAGAAGTTGTCATTATGCCATAATTGCATTTATTATTATCTATGGCAAATTATATATTTTATATTCAATATAAGGTAAAATAGATTTGTTTAGATCTTTGTATTAGTTAAGCTTATTTTAACTGTGAACTTTTGATTATATTTCTTTCATTTTTTTAGAAACGGGTAATTTCTCCAAACAAAGAGTATGTACATGATATTGAAGAAAGTGCAAATGGATCATGTTGTCACACAAGACTTGGAGCTGGAAAACAGTCCAGTTTAATGTCAGACTCCCGCAACCTCGTTCATTAAAGATGTGGAACTGATGATTATGTTTGTGTATGGAAAAATTTAGATTAATTTTATATTTTGAACTGTGATAGAGTTACAGTAAATCATCTAGGGCCTAAGGATAAGAAAATTGCTTCAAGAAACAGTAAAAATGCATGCCAAAATCTGCTTAAATGAGAATTATACTCATGCTCTTCAGATATTCTGAAAACAATAATATTAACTCAAACAACTGTTCTCATACTTTGGTCTCTAATTTCAACTTTAAATTTTGTATGAACATTTTTAAAGTTAGTTTAAAAAAAGCTATCAAATTCAACCATGCATCTTGAAAATAAACTACTGTATTATTTAGGGTCTTTGATATCTCTGAAGACTGATTTTTTGGACTAAGTTCAGAAATGTGCATATAAAATATGAGTCTTGATCAATTTAAACTATTGCTGATTTATTCTGGGCCCCAGCTACGTGTGTGAAAAGGACAGAGAGAAGTCTGATTAAAGAGAAATTCCTTCTGCAGCTAAGACAAATTCACCCAGTGACACTTCTTCCCGACTCGTGTTCTACCAGAGGAGGGAAGCTGAGCCAATACTAGTCATAGTCTATCATCCAGTACAGTGACTGCAATAAAGCTAGAAGCCTCACCCATGATTAGATAATGTTCAGGGGAAACTTTGTTATCCATTGACCCTGCAAAGAATGGCATAGAATGCAGAGCAGGAATCCTGGCAGGCTATGCCATGGTTTCTGAAAACAATCTGTTAGCTCAGAGAAAATTATATGCCTCTGGGCTGAATTGTGTGTACTTTTTTGCTCTTCTCTCCACAGCCACCATTTCACAAATTGAAGGCAAATTCCAGGGCAAGGAATATTAAGCAGGTTTCAGGGTATTTTGTTTGTTTTTTAAATACCACAGCCAATGTTACATTTTACTTTGCCTTGCTCAAAGGAAAACTATACATCTTTCTTTGACAAATGCAATACAACCAAAGGTACCCGAATACACAAAGCAAAATATAAAATCTTGCTTTGTCCCAACAAAATAATCAGTTTATCAGCTTTCTTTTGGAGAATCTTTCTTAAAATCACACATCATCATTGTAAATGAGATGGCAACAGCAAAGCCATATGTTAAGGATACCTGGGCAGTCTGAATATTGAGTCTGTAGACAACAGTCATGACCAAATTTAGACTTTCCTTCTAGGAAGGCAGAAGAAAAGCATGTTATTAGTAGTACTGCTCAAGAAAAAGAGATCAATTTAAGAGGAAGGATTAATATAAAATATGGAGGTCTTCTCTCTCTCTTTCTTTCTGCTGTTTTTTTCCTATCAAGTACTCAAACCTTACCTAATCTCTTCAAGAGAAACAAGAATATATATGTTAATCCATACTAATAAGCTAGTGAAGCAATATACTAGTTCTTGTAAGAGTGCCTTTATTTTGATATAGAAAAAAGAGGACAATGTTTGACGGAATGAATAAAAATTATCATAGAATTTCAGAATTTACCAACAAAGAGAGATTCGGATGACAAATATTCAGACCCACGTCAAGTCTGCCCATGAAGGCTCCTGTGTATGTTACCTCAACTTAAGAGTCTCTCATAACACAGTGAAGAAATGTGGCTTGAGTTTTCTGACAAATTAGCCAGCAGCATACGATCCCATTTGCTTGGGTTCATAACACAGTCAGTGCTTTGTGGTTTTTGTTTCCTGAGAATAACTACAACATGGACAAGAGGAAGAGGAAATCACTTGCAACAACTACTTCTGCTTTAGTACATGGCTTAGGAAGCTTTCCACCTGCAAGCCGTCTTTCCTCCCTAGTTGTCCTGGTCAGCATTCTCATCTGAAATGTACTTACAGTGAAATCAGCCAAGCACGGGTGCAGCTGAGTGTTAGGCGGGGCTTGGCCCTTTTCTTTAGCATGAGCTGTTTCATCCACAATTGTGAAAATGCGAGCTTTGCCTGCAACGCCCTTCTGCCTTCACGACCACATTCACTATCTCCTTGTCATCTCACACTACCTATAACCCACCTTGCCATCCTAAGGGAACTGTCAGATAATAAAGGGTTTAAAAAACTAATTCAAGCTGAAGTGTCACAGTTTCAAAGTGGTTAATTATATTATTACTTTTGAATACTAGTTGATACCTTAACCAAAAGAAAGAAGTCTTGCATGTATCATTGCACGTTTTTTTGCATGAAAGTATTTTTAAGCAAGAAAAATTTTTTCGCGTTGCTTACATCAGTGTTTTCCAACTCCAGTGTGCATGAGGGCCTCATCACTTAGAGGGCCTTGTCACATTCTGACCATGAGGCTCTCCCAGAGACTCTGATGAGGTCCATCTGGGGAGAGCCTGGGAGTCTGTGTTCACGAAGCACAGCCAGGTTTGGAGATGACTGAGTAAATCATGCCTTTGAACAGCAGCAGATTATTCTGTATGAATTTACGATTGGTGTGGGCGATTGGATCCATTCGCTACAATGGGATTTGATATGAATTTGCTTTATTGCATATTTTGGTAAATTCAGGAGATTCTGCAAGTTGAACTAATAATAGGTAAAATGAAGCAATAGAGGATCAGCTCATACTTATGATTTTACAAGTCTGATCAATGATTCCACCTTCTATCATAGTCCAAGGATTCCTCTTTTAAAAAGTCATTGTCACTATTTTATTGCAGAAAAGTGGATGCCCCTAAACAAGTTAGTAGATGCTTTTCTACAAAAAGAATTTTTTAACATGAAATATCAGATTCTTAGAATGTGGTTTTAGTGAGAAAACATACTGATAAAAATGTCTATAAATTAAACAATGTTTTGGGTTGTGTTTTTATTGCATTCATTAGACATACATTTTCAAATAGTGGGCTTATTTGTCTACTATTCAATTTGTTTACAGAAAATTCACATGTGTATTCACTAGAAATTAATAGGCAGTTAAAATCTGTCCCTTTCTCCACTCTCCACCATAATTCAAGGTCTTATGGAAATCTTGGTTAATTAGACCAGAGCGAGTTTACATAGACGTGTTTATTCTAATCAATGTGCCCCCCAACAAGAGAAGTGACTCTCCAAGTAACAGATGGCATCCTGAGTTATAGGCAACTGCAGCAGTTCAGGAAATGTTTTATTTAACATTCAGCGTACCTACTCCTACAAAATCCAAGCAATTTTTTTTGTTTGTTTTAATTTTGCTTCGCAGTTGAGTATCATGGTGTTTTTCAGTAAAGGTTCAGTTTGTTCTCACTGCTCATCTGTATCGTGCTCAACTATTTTCTGTAACTAGAGAAATCTCAAAACAGGTGTTTAGAAAGGCTGCTATCTTCCATTTGGCTCACAAAAGGAGAACAATGCGAACAGCCATTTCCCTAGCTTTGGCTCTGCACTAGTGAGAAGGCGCCATAACAGAAGCAATCAGTCAGAGAGAAAGTCACATGTATTCCCTCTTCTGGGAAAGCTATAGGGCCCTTGAAAGATGATTGGTTTATGGGACTAGCATTATGAAAAGGGAATAATCAGAATCCAGCTGTGAGGAGAATAGGGGATAAGGAACAGGTGGATATGCATATGTGAATACGTAATATTAAAATATGTATGTTTAGATGACCCCATTTTTAGGGAGTCATAATGTCTTTTATCACTTTTATATCAATCAACAAAAGAGGGCCCGGACTCTAAGGGCATCCTTCATACCCTGCACCCAATCTCTGTGTGAGGCTTCAAACAGCTGCTCTGTCTCCCTATCGATCCCTCCCCAGCTCCTGAAATATTTCCTCTTTGCCTTCTAATATTCATCCTCAAACTGTTTCCTGGTCAGACCAATTACTTTTGCATACTAACAGAAATTTTGCTCTCCCTTGAAAGAACTTGTGTTCCTTGCAGCTCTCTCAAACGCTGGCAGTTTTTGTTTTCATTTTTCTTTTTGCAGCTCTCATACAACTGAAACTGTAGGTGAGGTAGGTGAGGTCCTTGGCTCCTTTTCTATCTTTAGTCCTCAACTATTTGCTAAAACTGTTCTTGTCGAGTACACTTATGTCTCCATGTTTTTAAATCCAAGTATAATTCTTCATTTTGATGATTAGTCTTCATCTTTACTGACTTACAGGTGGCAATTGACCCAGTTGGGGATTCTCTTCCTTTGATGCACTTTCTTCACATTACATCTGGAATATTGCTATTGGTTTTCCTACTACACCACCGGTTATTCCTCATCAGTTTCTTCTGCTGATCGCTTCCCTTCCTTACAGCATCTGTTGGCATTCTATGGGACCTCAGAGTTATCCTTACAGTGATCCTTGGCTTCTTTTCAAATCCTACATTTAATTCATCAGGAAATCCTGTTGGTTCTACCTTCAAATATCTCCTGAATATGACCTTCAGTGTGAATTTCCTATTATCAATTTCTCCCACTTGGATTAGCACAATAGGCACAGAACGAGTCTATTTACTTCCATTTTTGGCTCTTGAATCAGTTAGGGATGGGTTTAAGACAGAAATAAGGAATCATGTGCTTACAAAACCTTAGAAGAGAAAAGGCTATGTGATGGCCTTAATTTTCCACTTTGCTGTCATAGGAAGGCAAAACTGCTGCTTCCCAGGGTAAGAAGACTGTGGTAAACAGCAGATCGCTTCAAAACTTCTCTGCAACTCTAAGAGGGTTGAAATAGCAGGGAACCTCAGAATGTTAAACTTTGCATTTGGGAAGGCTGCGTATCTGCTCCCGATTGTCAACAGGAGAAGAAGAAAAATATAGCTTTACCTCTCTTTCACTTTCTGATCTTAAATTATGAGGTCTCTCTACTTAACGGTAAATTTCTAGCTATCGTACCTCATTTTCTCTATTGACTCTTATTCCACAGCTCCAATATTTAATTGGAGAGACTATTACTTTCAAAATATTGGAAGTTGCTATCCCCATAATGTACAGAATATCTAGTATTTGGAAAGAGGTAGATAATAATAAAATTTCATTTTGGCTAAAGTATAATTCCACTGGAATAGTGCAGTCAGAAAGGGAGTTATCTTTAAG